ATAGCAGGTTCTTGGGCCCTCAAATAGTTGAGGGAATGAAAAACCAATCAGTTGAGCCACTGTTAATGCTTTTGAGGTTTATTATGTGCCAGGTACTGTGCTATATATATTTATATGATCTTTTAAAAAATCTTGTTTTTACTTTTTTCTTTGTTTTTATATTTATATGATCTTATTGTCACTATTGGTTCCCTACTTCTTTCACTTAACTATATGCCATGAAGCTTTTCCCATGTCATCAAATATTTTTATAACAGAGATTTAAATAGATGCTCAACAGTATTACCTTCCATGTTGCACCATAATTTTTTAATCTAATCGTCTCATCTGGATGGACATTTACTTTGTTTTCAGTAGTTTGTTTTTAAACAGTATTTTGATAAATATCTTTGTGTTTGATGGCAGAGTTTTGTACACATCCATGAGTTTTCCCCCCGCTAGCATAAATTCCTGAAACGAATTGCTGGATCAAAGGGTGTTCACATTTTTAAGGTTTGTGATAAAGTTGTACCTATTTCCATTCCTACCTGCAATGTGAGTAGTACCCACTAGTGTTCCCTTCCCAAAAAAACATGGTAGAGGCTAGAGAGGAGCAGGAAATAGGTGGGTGAGGTTTTGAGAGACATGAGCATCATGAAGATGTTTATAAGCCAGAGGAAAGAGCATAGAAGGGGAGAAGTGAAGATAAAGGCAATCTGAGAAGGGAATATTGATTGAGCAGTGCCCTCTAGAACCCTCTAGAACCGCTAGAAGCGGGGCCTGCCCTGGGGAGGAGGTGGGAAATGGCCTGCCCCAGGTACCTGATCCATCCATTTGGGTTAGGTTCCCCAAGTTATATGCACTGACTTCTGTCATAACATCACACTACATTGTCATTTGTCATTTTTCTGTCTTACCAAATTCCTTGAAGTCAGGAATTGTGTTGTTGTTGTTTTGTTGTTATTATTCCATATCCCCCAAATCTATCCCAGCAGGAACTTGATAAAGATTTATTAAAAGAATGTTGGATGGATTGAGAGAAGTTGGGGGGAATTTGAGCAAGTTCTCTACTAGCCAGAGGCAAAGTCTTAAGATAGCCATGGTAGTGAGGAAAATGGATAGAAGGGAAGAAGGAAGGATTGGTTAGGGATGAGATAGACTTGGAATGCTCAGCAGCTGTCATGAAGAGTTGGAAAAAATGGAGGTTGAGCCTGACAAGGGATGTTTTGTGAGCATGTATAGCAAAGGACAAGATGCAGTTAGGGGTGCTTTCAGGGTTCGGTTTTTGAGGTTGGGTTTTTGCTTGAGAGGAAAAGCAAGACAAGAGTTCTACAGTTGGGACTATATCACTACCCAAAGCTGGGTTTCTTTTAAATATAATAATAATAATTAAAAATTAACAGTATTTTAATTGATTTTAACTGTATTGAACATTTTTCATAATGTAGTTTGCGAGATGTTTATTCTTAAACTATTGAATTTAGGTATTTTTATACTTTTACATGCAATTAAGATGGCTAGAGAATGGTGAATGTATCTGTACATCCTGAAAGTTTGCCTTAACGAAATATGTTTATAATAAATCTGTTTCATTAAAAAACAAAAAGTGCTGGGGGAGATAAGATTAATAGTGTTTAAGGGTAACTAGTAGTACATAAGCCATCTCTAATGCACAGTATAATGAACATAGTCTTAATACTGCACTATAATAATGTAATGTGATAAATATTGCTTCAATGGCAATTATATTACAGTATATAAATGTAGCATAGTAACACACTGTACATCTTACATTTATAAATTGTAACATGTCAAATTGATCAAATAAAAAAATGTAAAAAGAGGGGCTAATTGGTTAAGAGTTGGCTTGGGAGCACAAACTCTGAGCAGCAGGGCCGCCGGTTCGGATCCCACATGGGCCAGTGACGCTGTGCCCTCTACAGCTAAGATGGTGAACAATGACTAGACCTGGAGCTGAGCTGCCATGAGTCTCTGGCAATGGCGTAGGCTGCAATGGGGCTGCAGTGGGCTGCCATGAGCCGCCGTGAGCAGCCATCCAATGGCCAGTGACAGATCGGCCTAGCTGGGAAGAGCGCAATGATCACAATACCAACACGGGCCAGTGAAGCAGCATCCTCCACAACTAGACAAGAACAAAAGGACAGCAACTTGTCTGTTCCCCTCCCCCAATTCCCCAATAAAACCTTAAAAAAAAAAAAAGTAAAAAGACACACACACAAAAAGTGTTCCTTCCCGAACTACTAGATGTTATTCGTTTCATGTTTCCCTAACCAATAGGCAAAGGGTGTCTGTTTCCTTAATTTGCATTCATTGGATTACTAGTGAGTGTGCGTGTTTTTCATATTTCATCAACCACTTTGTAAATTAACTGTTTGGGCCTTTTGCCTTTTCTTCCACACATTCTTCCTTAATTTTTTTTTTTTAATTTTACAAGAATCCATGGGAACCCCTTTGTAAAAAATTCAAATACAAACCATAAAAAGCCCAACTGGCACAGTCTCTCTCCCCTCCCCAGAGTAGAATTCTTGGGTACCTGCCTTCCTTGTCTTTTTCTATTCATCTACAATCATGGGTTGGTTTTCTTTGCTGTACATATTGTATTCCAACCTGTGTTTTTTTTTCCTTAACAACAATCTTGGAAATCTTTACAAGTCAATACAAATGCTGTTCACTTGGAATCCCTTCCCAGTTCTTTCCTGCTGCGAGTACTACCCTTTGTAAGGGCTGAACTGTATTCCATAGCATAGATTTGTTTACCAGTTCCCACTTGCTGAGATTGCTGGGATGAATATTCCTGTATGTGCCAGCCTTTTGTGTAACTGGGGAGCAGTGTTTAAGGGTACTGTTAAATTGCCCACCAAAGAGACAATTTTCTTTCCCACCAACAGGCTATGCAAGAACTTATTTCTCCATATCTTCATGGGCCCTATATATTATCAATCTTTAAAATTTCCCCCAATCTAGTGGAAGAATTAGTGTCATATTGCTGTTTTAATTTGCGTTTCCCTCATGGCTGGTGACGTTGGGTATCATTGTTCAGTTATTTGACAGATATTTGAGTGTTTACTCTCTGCACTGTAGAGGTACCAAGTCAATAATGGTGATAAAAGAGATGTTTCTGCCCTCACAGATCAAGAGAATGAAATCTTTTAGCTGCAGCAACATTTTCCAATATTTTGCCTTTTACTTGTGTTTATGATTTGGTCGGGGGTTTTTTTTGTTTGCTTTTTTAAAAAGATTTTATTGGGGAATTGGGGGAGAGGACCAGCGCTGGGGAATCGGGGGAAGGGGAACAGACAAGTTGCTGTCCTTTTGTTCTTCAGTCTAGTTGTGGAGGACGTTGCTTCACTGGCCCAAGT